CTACGCACTTTAAGAAGGTGAGTTGGGTGCCAGGAGCTCTGCTGCTGAAGGGTGAGCACTGAGGCTGTGTTGCAGCACTGCCTGCCTTCACCAGGTCTGCGGTCCCTCCCGCACCAACCCCAACCTTCTGGTGGATGACCTCCTGATGCCGTGCTCGCCTGGGGACCCGGGTGCCACCGAGATGACCTGGATGGAGGTGCCCAGTGACAAGCTGATGGAACCCATCGTCTGCATGGTGAGTGGGGCTGCCAATAGCAATCAGATCCTGCTGTGTTTGGGCCCATCCCCAGCACAGCAATGCTGCCGCCCCAGCACTACCGGTTCCCCTGCCTCCTCCAGAGCTGCCACTTGCCTCAGGGCCTGGTGCAGGCACATGGCAGCTGGGTGCTGGTGCCCTCCCGCGCCCCTGTGGTGGCAACGCCTACCTGGTGGCAGCACCCTAAGGGTGAGCATGTCCCCAGCATGTTGCCATCCCTCCAACCTCCACGTCTGAGCTGCTCCCTGCTCTGTATTGCAGTCGGACATGCTGCGTTCCCTGGCCACCACCCGCCCCACCGTGAACACCGAGGACCTCCTGAAGGTGAAGAAGTTCACAGAGGACTTTGGGCAGGAAGGTTAAGGGCCGTGGTGGATGGTGGAGCCCCACTGCTCCCAGGCAGGCGGCTGTGCCAAACAGGTTCATCTGCAGCTCACAACCCAACCCATCTCACTTCAGCACCAGGCAGGGATGGGGGCATGCTGCCCTGGCAGGGCCGACATTAACAGAGGTGCCCCAGCGCTCCTCTGCTCCCCACTCTTCTTCCTGCTCTTTTTTTTATTTTTTAAATTAATGCTGCTTTGGGTTCTGTCTTGTTTATATGAAAATAAAAACAATCCGAAAGCTTCAGCCAGTGCTTAGCCCCTCCCTGAGGCACAGCTGCCCCACAGCAAGGCTTTGGGGCCATGGAGGGACCTGGTGTTGGGGATGCCCTCTTCCTCCCACTCCCACAGTCCTTAGCCTGCTGCAGAGTACTGTGCACAGCAGTCCTCTGCCACACAAGAAGCACGTTCTATAAGGGCCTCTTGGAGCCGGGACCCTCCTCGTTTCTCTCCAGGTCCAGCAGCCCGCAGCTCCCAGCCCCTTCCCCTCCCGCGGACCAGGTGCTGCAGGAGAGAGGGCTGGTCCCCCCCTGCACAGCCCCCTTTCCTAGACCGAGAAAGGAAGCTCCGAGGCCGGCTCCAAAGGGCAGGTGGGGGCTGCGGCCACATCCAAGAGTGCCGTACCGCTGCCGGGGCTCTGTCTCAGTCGAGGAGCTGGCTCCAGGCGGTGTTGGCGAAGGTGCGGCTGTCCATGCGGTCGATGAAGAGCACGCCGTCCAGATGGTCCATCTCGTGCTGCACGATGCGGGCGGCCCAGCCCGTCGCCTCCCAGCTCACCGGGTCCCCGTTCTCATCTACGCCTGCGGCGGGACGGCGCGGGTAGGGCCGGAGCCGTGCCGCGGGGACGGGAGGAGAGAGGCGGGGGGCGGGGTGGGGGCGAGGCCGTACCGGAGACGTGCACGGCCCAGTGCCGCGGGACGCAGGCGGAGAAGCCGCGGATGCTGGCGCAGCCCTCGGGCGCGGTGACGAGGCGGGCGTCCAGAACGCGCAGCGCGGGGTTGACGAGGAGCCGCAGGGGGAAGGGCTCGATGCGGTGCACGCGGCGGAGCGCGGCGGGGTACTGCTGGCAGCGCTCGGGAGGCAGCGCGGCGGCGAAGACGCGCAGGGGCACACCGAGCTGCGGGGCGCTCAGCCCCAGGCACGGCCCGCCCCGCAGCCCGGCCGCCAGCGCCGCCGCCAGCGCCCGCAGCTCGGGGCCGCCCAACTGCTCCGGGGCGACGGCGGCGGCGGCGGCGCGCAGCACCGGGGCGCCCACCTGGCACGGCTCGGAGAACGGCGGCTTGGAAGGGCCCCGCAGCCGCCGCCGCAGCGCCTGCCAGTAGGAGCGCTCCCGCACCGCAGCCCAACCCGACCCCGCGTCGGCCCCGCAGCCGCGGGCCTGACCCGGAGCCCGGCCCGGCGGCAGCCGCCGGCACAGCACCGCCGCCATCCCGGCGGATGTGACGCAAGGCGGCTAGAGGGGCGCCGGGGGCGGAGAGGGCGGGGACGGGCGCCCCCTGCCGGCGGGGAGGAGCCACGGCTCCGCGGCATCAAGTGGGAGAGCTGCGGCACGGACTGGGCGGCCACGCGGGTGGCACGGCTTTATTGCTGCAGGCACGGCCCGGCCCCACCGAGGGGACGCGTGGGCACCCCCGTGCCCGCAGAACAAGCGTTCCCACCGGCAGCACGGCTCTCCCCTCCCCACAGCCCCCAGGTCACAACGCGGGCCGTTCCCCTCCGTGCCCACTCCCATCCAGCAGCACAGCCTCCAGTGCAGGGTCCGTGGGCTCTTCTCGGCCCTGCTCTGGCGGGGGCCCCCCTGGCCCAATCTCCTCTGTCTGCGTGGGATGCAGTGCGAGCACAGGGCTTTGTGGGGATGGCTCTTCCTCACTGGGCGGCAGCTCTGCCTCCTGTGCTGGCAGGACAGGGGCCAGCAGCTCCCTGAGAGCATTCACATCAATGCAGCCCAGGTGGCCGTAGCGCTGCAGCTGGGCCGGGGGAATGCCTATGGGACACAGAGAGAGGGGTGGGCACAGCCCTCCAGCACAGTGCAGCTAACACTGCATCCCATGGTGACAAAAGCATCTCCCACGTTATTCCTCCCCACAGTGGAGTCTTACCCAGCACCTGTGCGATCTGAGCTGGGGGGAAGAGAACCTGGAGGCAGCGATTCAGGTAAGGAAGCAGATCCTCCAGGAATGCTGCGCAGAACTGGACAAAGAGCTCCTGCTCGCGCCCGCTGAATGCCGCCTCCTCTGCTCGGTGGAAGGCCAGGATTATTTTGGTCACCTGGGGCAGAGAACAGTCATTAATTCCCAGATCACAATCCCCAGGCAAATCCACGGGCCTGGAGAACTTGACACATGAAACAGCCACTTCCCTCTCATAGCACCAGGCCCAAGGCAGCATTTTGGGTACAGAAACCATCCTTATTTGCAGCTGCTCTGTTTCGCCAACACAAAGTAGGAGCTTGGGTGCAGTCCCAGCACCTCACCTTGCCAAGGGCATCCTTCAGGCAGGCAGCCACATCCTGCGCCAGGGCGATGGGGCAGCAGAGCCGCAGGTCGTTGAAGGCGACAAGGAGGCCATTGAGGAAGCAGGCAAGGGGCGGAAAGTCCAGCAGCACCATGGGTGGCTGCAGTGTCCCTGGCTGGGCTGAGGGCACTGGCACTGCTGCGGCACTGCCCAGCACAGCTGGGGCAGAGATGAGCGTGTAGGAATTCATCTCCTCCTGGAACTTCTCCACCGCCTCCTCCACTGCCTTGCTGAAGGTGGTGGCAGCGACACGCTGGAAGATGGGGGCCAGCTGCCCACGGAAATCAGCCCCCACCCTGCTAAAGGAGAGGCCAAAGTACATGCACTGCCCCAGCAGTGAGTCCAAGCGGCCGCCCACCCCTCGCTGCAGGTCACGCTCCAGCACCTGCAGGAACTCAGAGACCTTCTGCAGCACCCAACCATGGAAGATGGCCCCCTCGTTGAGGGAGGGCTGCTCGGGGGCCAGGAGTGGCTCCTCATCAGAGAAGATGGCACGGTACTGTGTGATGATGTCAAAGAGGTGGACACGGCAGGCCTCGACTGTCTTGGTGAGGTGGAAGTAGGGGTCATCCTCGGGGATGGAGGCCTGGATGGAGCGCAGCCAGGCGTCCCGTGCCTGCAAGAACTTGATGCGCAGCTCAGCCTCTGTGAAGACATCCATGCGCCGCAGATAGCCGATGACCCGCAGGCAAGTGGGCAGAGGGATGTTGGTGCGGAGCTGCTGGATGAGCTCGTTCAGCATCAGCTGGGTGGACTGCCGCACCTCGGCCACAATTCCCTGTGAGGAGAGAGCCTCAGTGGTGGGATCAGTGGGCTGAGGCCAACTGCACAAGCCTCAACAAGACCAAGTGCCAGGTCCCACATTTTGGTCACAACACCCCATGCATTAAGAAATATGGAGCTCTGGCATTTGGGTCTAAGCAGGCATGGTGGGGATGGGTTGACAGCTAGACTCGGTGATCACAGATCTCTTCTGACCTTAATGACTTTTCTGACTTTTGACCATAGGACAGCCGTGCAGCAGGGGCAGCATGGCCCTACCTGGATGACAGGGATGTTGCTGTACTTCTTCTCCAGCCGGCGCACGTAGGCTGCCAGCTCCAGCGCCTCCTCATAGTAGCGGTTACGCACACAGGTGTCCATGAGCTGCGGGATCTCCAGGATCTCTAAGATCTCTGTGTGCCGGTTCAGTGTCAGGCTGTTCATCCGCCGGCTGCAGGCAATGGCCTCGGCATCACGCATGAAGTTCCTGTGAAGCCAGGAAGGATCAGCACAGGGCAGGTGGAGGGGGACACCCTGGAACCTCTTAGCTACTCCCCTGCTCTGCTACTGACCCCGATCTCAACACCGGGCCGGCACTGGCCCCGGGGCACCAACTGCCCCCAGCCTTACCCACCTCCAAGCCTTTCCTCGCCTTCTCAGCTCTGTTCCCAGCACCCTGAGCCTGGCCCATCCCGCTCACCGGCAGGCGTCCTGCAGGGCGGGCAGGCGCTCCAGCAGGCTGCCCAGACGGCTCTCGATGCCTCCGAAGCCGCGGCCGGCGCGCCCGGTGCACTCCGCGGAGCGAATGAAGGCGCGGTAGTGCTCGAAGGCCAAGCGCCGCGTCTCGGCCCCGACCCGCTCCCGCTCCGCCGCTAGCCGCGCCGGCTCCCGGCCCAGCTCCGCCAGCCCCAGCGCCGCCAGCTCGGCCACATAAGCGGCGAGCTCAGCGCCGCCAGGTCCCGCCACAGCCGGGCCGCGCAGCCAGGCCAGCAGCCGCTCCTCCTCCGCCGCCATCGCAGTCGCCCCGCCGGCACGGACCCACGCCACTTCCGGCCCCGGAGCAGGCACTTCCGGCGCAGGTACCGCCACTTCCGCTTCCGGCGCGGCAGCGCGTGTGAGGCGCGCGGCGATGCGGCCGCTGACGGAGGCGGAGACGCGGGCGGTGTTCGAGAAGCTCGGGAGATAGTGAGCGGCTGGGAGCGCGGGAGCGGCGCGGGGGGAGCGGTGGGACCGACGGGGAAACGAGGGACCGGGGCTGCAGCGGAGGGCGGGCACGTGCCGCGTGTGGGAACGGCAGGGCTGACGGGGAATGGATGGGGCGAAGGACGGGTGCGGGCAGCGGTGGCACAAGGGGAGCCGAGGGGACCGCAGGTGATCGGGTTGGAACGGACCTCACAGCCCCTCCAGCCCCTCCCCTGCCGCTGGGCGCCCCCCAGCTCGGGCTGCCGACAGCTCATCCATGGCCCCGGGCACCTCCAGGGATGGGCACCCACCGCTCTGAGCAGTGCCGGGCCCTCACCGCCTCGGAGTAAAGAATTTCACCCTAACATTCGACTTAAATCTCTCCTCTTTTAGTTTGAAACCATTCCCTGTTGTCCTGTCACCTTCAGATCGTGTAAAAAGTTACTCTTCTCCTGCTTATAAGGTGTCCTCAAGTCCTGGAAGGTCACAATGAAGTCTCCCCAGAGCGTTCTTTTCTCCAGACTCAGCACTAGCACTCAGCCTTTTTCCATAAGAGAGGTGTTGCAGCCTCTGAGCATCTTTGTGGCCCTCCTCTGGACCCTCTCCAGAAGCACTTCATCTTTGCTGTGGGACCCAGGCCTGGGCATTGTACTCCAGATGGAGCCTCATGAGGGCAGAGCAGATGGGGACAATCCCCTCCCTGCCCTTCATCACCCATCTCGGGCTGTTGATGCAGCCCAAGATACTGTTGGTTTTCCGGGCTGCAAGTGCACGCTGCTGGCTTGTGTTAAGCACTTCATCTACCAGGACCCCCAAGTCTTCTATGCAGGGCTGCTTTCTACACATTTTATTTCCCACTCTGTGTACATATCTGGGATTGCCCCAACCCAAGTGCAACACTTTGCATTTGGCCTTGATGAACCTCATGAGGTGTGAAAGAGAGATGGGTCAGGAGGAGCCAGGAAGACCAGAGGGCACTGGGGGAACAGCAGGGATGGATCTGATGTAACTTTTTCCTGCAGCATTGGCGAGAACATCCAGTTGCTGGTGGACCGGCCCGATGGCACCTACTGCTTCCGTCTGCACCGTGACCGTGTCTACTACGTGAGGTGAGCCGGGGTTGGGGTGGCTGTGGGACACAGGTTGAGCCCTTGCAGCCCTCCCAGCCTGCAACCTCTCCATCCCTGTCTCCCCACAGCGAGAAGCTGCTGAAGGGTGCTGCAAGCATCCCACGGGACAGCCTGGTGGCACTGGGCACCTGCTTTGGCAAGTTCACCAAGACACAGAAGTTCCGGCTCAGCGTCACTGCCCTGGACTTCCTTGCTCCCTATGCCAAGGTGGGATTTGTTCCTCCCCTCCCTCCCAGCACCTGTTTGTTCCCAGTGCCACCCTTTTGGCGGCTCACCTACTCCTTCCTCTCTCTTAGTATAAAGTGTGGGTGAAGCCAGGCTCAGAGCAGTCCTTCCTCTATGGCAACCATGTGCTGAAGTCTGGCTTGGGCCGCATCACGGAGAACACAGCACAGTACCAGGGCGTGGTGGTGTACTCCATGGCTGACATCCCACTGGTGAGTGGTCTCCCCAACACTTCCCACTCTAAGGGAATGGGTACTGGGCTGCAAAACACTCCCTCTCTCTTCTTCCCTAGGGATTTGGAGTAGCTGCAAAATCTACCCAGGACTGCCGGAAGGTGGATCCCATGGCCATTGTGGTGTTTCACCAGGCGGATGTTGGGGAGTACGTGCGCAGTGAGGACACACTGACTTAGGGCAGCACAAATGCACAGGAGCCACAAGCACACCTGGACTGAATGGGCTTGTCCTGCATCATGCATGGTAGCAGCACACAGAGCCACGGGAGCACACCCCAAGCAGGGAGCAGGAGCTGGGAGCAGTTACTGCTACTGTGAGCACAAGAAGGCACTAGCCCTGCTGTTGTGCTTGTATAAAGCCTGTTCCTTCTTTTTAACTGCCTCTTGTCTCATGCAACACCTTAGGATGTCAGTCCTGAGGCCTGGCTGCACATTTGGGTGCCTGGGCTTAGTGCAGCAGACAGCGATACACAGGAGGAAGGCAAGAAAACAGCAGATAGCTGCCTGCAATGCTGCTGTCATTGCATCCAGGCAGGCATGGGAGGGATGGGTACCCCCACTTCATAAAATGGGGTTCTAGCCAAAAGGGGCAGGTTGAAACACTGAAAGCTGGCAAAGACACACTAACACAACATTAAGGTTTTTGTATTTTTTTCCTAAAGGTAATTTCAGTTAAAGGTGGGAGGTGAGTAAGCTCTGCCTCCAGCTACACCACCTCCTCCCCAGAGCAGGACCTGGGCTTTCTCCTCCTGCTCTGTGGAAAGCAGAGGGGCTGATGCAGAGGTGCCCGCAAGCCCCTCAGTCACTGCTGCAGGTGAATGCAGGTAGGGCTCTGCTCCTGTGGGCTGTGCTGTGTTAGGGAGCTGTCAGCACCTCGGCTTCCCAGAGTTCTGCACATTGAAGAGCCGCTTCAAGAAGTAAAGCTGCAGGACCCCAGAGAGGACAATGACGCAGCTCTGAGCCATCGACCACCAGTTGACATAGTGGTAGTTGGACTCAAGGAGGAAGGAGTCAGCCCCTTTCCTCATCCGGGCGAAGTTGTAGAACCTCCACATGTGGAAGATGTGGACCTGCAGTTTCTGAATGCTGTCCTGCAGACATAGCCCAGCAGGAGAAGAAAAAGGTGCTTACCAGCCATGCTCAGGTGGATTGTGCTGCTGAGGAGCTGGCAGAGCCCTTGCAGGAACATCCACTGAGCCACCAGCTTGGTTCAACACCAAGACAGGTAGCAGCACTGACATCAAGCAGGGACAAATGTTCTTCCTTGGTCCCTCAGGAAGAACTTGCCCATCCCTACCACGGGATGCTGCTGGAGGCCAGCACTGTTGCATTCAGTTCTGGCCTATTTTTGCATCAGCCTGACCCACGTGCTGTTTTGAAGCACTCTGTGGCAGAAGCAGCACTTACCTCAATGGCATCCAATGTGTCATTCAGCTGTTTCCTCTCTTCTGGCTGCTCCTTTTCCATGTTGAAGCCATCATAGTAGACACCAAAGTTGAGATACACCTGCACAAAGCCAAAGTGATTTTGCCCATTGTCCAGGCACAGCTGATAAAAACCTGCAGAGAGAAGTGGAGGTTTTTGTTCCTTAAGCTATTTCAAGACAGGGCTGCTTCTAGCACTTAATGCTAATGTGTGCTGGCAGGGAGGACACCGTGACCACACAACACACATCAGCACTATGGGGAGTGCACACCCCACAGAGCCCACCCAGCCCCAGGGGACACGGGCAGCAGGGACCTGTCTCCTTGGTCAGGAAGTTGATCTGTCCTCGCACATCCTGGGAGGCGCCGAGCTGGAAGCCATTGGGGTCTCTTGCTGTGGCCAGGATGTACCTGCTGTTGGCAATGCCTGTCGCCCGCTGCACCTGGAGGTGGGAGACACCCAACAGCAGGGCTGGGACACTGCCCAAAGGGAGACATCACCTAAGGGTCTTTTGTGCCCGATTCTTCACTTAGGAAAACAGAAGGCAGGAGTCCAGCAAAGTTTCCTGTGCTTGGCTGTCAGCAGGAGCTGAGGGTGCTGGCTGCACTCTGAAGCATTAAATGCCTCCTGCCACTGCCAACTACACATAAAAGGAAAACAAAACCCACAGACTTGAGAAGGGTCACCTCTCAGTTCTTTGTCCTTGCCCGTGGTGCTGCTGGCATTCACAGACAGGTAGGGGGCCGCGTTGGGTTGCTGTCAGGGGTCCCAGGAGGGGAGAGCAGGCTCCAAGCATGTTCTCAGCCCTGCAGAGCAACTCCCAGCTGTCTGCTGGCTTTGGGGCTGAGCAAGAGCATGTTTGGGGTTGGCTGGGCTTGTGCTACATCCTGGGGCTGTTCCCACACGAGCGCTGTGAGGCTGCTCTGCCAAGCACAAGGTGGTGGCAGCTGTGTCCCCACGCTCCTTCAGCCAGCAGTGTAAACAGGAGATTAAAGGGCTTCAGTCTCCCTCGTGGGAAGGGGACTGTGCACAGGGACAAACTGATACGGCTGCACCTGAGACCTTCAGCACTCCTCCCAGCCGTAGCTCAGAGGGAAGCTGAGGTCCTGCAATGGCCTCCAGCCAGCCCAGCACTCTTGCAGCACTGAGCTTGCCCCAGCGAGCTCCTTCTGTGTACAGGGCCACCACATCCAGAGCACTCTGTATCTCCTCACTCTGAACATACTCATGTTTTCAGCGTGTTTGAAAATAATAGATGGGATTGATGATGAGAAAGCAAACTGCCTTAAAAAAAAAAAAAAAAAGCTCAGTCCCTAGGACCAGCCATTGAAGTTACTGCAGCCATTCCCTGTTGCAACCAAGGATGTTCCCCTCCACCTTGAGGACAGCAAGGCTGGAGTTCAACTGGCACATAGCTGTTATCCTACAAAGGCTACTTTCGTACATCAGCCTCACCATGGGACTAACAAGGAGGAGGAGGACTGCCCACTGCAGGACCACAGAGCTGCTGCTTGAGGCCAACCCAATGCAGCCATTCCCCCAAACCCATTGGCAGAAGCATCATGCTCACAACTTCACAGGATGCGTCCCAAAGCACTCACCTCAAAGCTGAAGAAGAAATTGCCACTCTGGTGTGCGAACTGCCAGAAGCACTCAGTGGTGCCAGCATGGACAACGATGGCAAAGTCATAGCGGTCAGCACCGCGGAACAGGGGCTCATTGCTGGTCCCGCTCAGGGGCTCAGTCCTGGGGCACACAGCAGGACCTGGCAGCCCCAGCACCAGGAGCACCAGCAGCAGCATGCTGCTTCCAGCTGGGCAGCAGCACAGAGCCGAGGCAGCAGCGTTATCAATCATTAACTGGCCTGTGCTGCTGCACAGTATCGCTCAGCAGGAGCAGGCTCCACTCCTCAAGGTGATATTGGTGCACAGCAGGACTTGGTCTGCTTTGTTCATGTAGGATCTCATCCAACTGAACCCTTCTGCTAAGGGCCAAGGCTGCTGCGAAGTGCCACAATCACCAGCAGCACCTCCTGTCTGCACAGCACTGCTCCAGGTCCCAGCCAGACTCGTTCTGCTTGCAGACTAATGCTGCCAGTACTTGTGAGCAAAGCAATTAATCACACTGGTGATTCCTGCCCCACTGCATGATTCTCACCAAGTCCAGAACTGGCCCCTGCAAGAGTGGTCCCATCTACCTGCAGCTGTTCCAGCACAAATAGTGTTACAGCAGCAGAGGGAAATGCACAGCCACAAGCAGGTGGCAGGAGAAGCTCACTCCAGCAGCTGCTAGAGGGCAGAGGGGAAAGCAGGTGTTTCCAAACAGACTGCTACCCCGCACTAGCTCTACAGCTGCTTCAGTGAGCCCAGAGCATTGATTAAAAAGGAAACAAAACCCCTTCCAAAAAAAGAAACTAAAGAAGTAGACAGATCAGAGGGTGGAAGTGCATGCTATTCCAGTAATCCCTCCAGATCTAACTCTTCAGTGCTGGTGTAGGGCACACCTGCCACACTGCCTAGCTTTTGTGCACTGGCTCACAGCACACATGAAGCCCCCAGCTGTAAGTCCAGAGGCTACAGAACAACTAAAAAAGCAACAAGCCTGGGTGGGCTTTCCAGCATTTCTAGGGTTTCTATACCAGTCACTCTCACCCCACAGTGCTTTTAGGAAATGCCACTTTGACTTCAAAGCCATGAGACTTCAATGCCTGTGAGGTGGCACTTCACACCTTCAGAGCATCTCTGTTCCACCTCCGCTACCTGCTGCTGACAACATCCCTGCAGGCTCAGGCAGCAAATGAACAGGTCACCACACAGCCAGGGCTCCAAACTGTCTCAATTGCTATCAGAGAGGTACAAATTCACATATTACAACTCTTGAAACTCATCAGCAAAGAACTTTATTTTATAGAAGACACCACTCAGTCATTTGAAGGCAAGAAACAGTACCCTCAGGGCTCACATGCTTGCAGAGGTTGCATACAGGATACTGTTACCGGGAAGAAGACAATAAGTCACAATCAACATCATTAAGCGCTGGATTGTTTAACATAGGACCAATTTTTACTTACTTAAAAAAAAAAAAAAAAGTTGCTTAAGTCTCAAGAGAGGGAGCATCCCACCTGCAGGCTAGAAAAATATTTCTGGGAGAAGAATTGCTTTACCTAAAGCTCTTCCCAGAAACTGTGGGACTGTGTTGCTTCTCCGAAGGAAGGAGTACAAATAGATGAAACAAAACTTGAATAGTTTTAGACAAGTTAAACATAAAAACAGCCACTGACAGTTACCCAGATATTGTCAAATGGCAGAACAGAAGACATCTCAGCAGCCCATCAGGTTGGCTGCAGTTGTCAGGCAGGAAAAAGAAGTCCCAATCCAGGCCATTTCCTAGCACATGCATTCAAACGGTAGCTTCTGCCAACTGCAGAAGACATAAACCTTGCAGCTACAACTCAAGACACAAGGCTCCTTAGAAACCACATCTGACAAGAATCACCTGCAGCAGCAGCCTCTGGTATGACAATGCAGAGGGGCTTACCACACACATCAGGGAAGTGCCCTGCAGCTTTGCTGTATTGCTATGGTCAACCTTTAAAGAACAAGAACACTGTAATACTAAGGATCCCATGGTCCCCAACTTTAGACGATGCCCAGCTTTTTCATGGTCCGATAGCGATCCTTGATCTGCACTGCCGTGCGGTTCTGGAAGGGGTATTTCTCAGAAATGGTCTTCCACCTCCCTTCCCCATACTTCCTCACGCCGTCTTTGATCCACTCACTTTCCTGCACTGTCCATTTCTAAAAAAAGCAGGTAAGCAGCATTCTGTGAGTTTAGAGAACAGTTTCATAAGGGAGTTATACAGCACAGTTCTCAGCAGAACATCTCCTTCCTAATTAGTTTTCCTTTATCATCTGTGCTAGGAACGTGGAGGAAAGGCAGAACTGTTCTGTCA